TGAGCATTTATACTGACAACATGGAAAACACATCAAGGTGCTACGTTTGCGTGTTGGAGCCACGTGTGTGTTTTATATGATGTCATTGCTTTAAAGACATGAGAACAATGAAATACTTTGTGATTCGCTAAAATACTTGAGGGAAAGGCAAAATGCATTATAGGAAATGTAGTTTGTTAGTGCTCTTTGCCTGCGATTTCTTTTTCAAGTAGCGTTTCACACAATGGTTGAAGATCTAAGCAAGGGAACCAATATTGAAGCAGAATACAGCAGTTTCATATAAGAAAGCTACGATGAATATAACAAGAAGATCGATAACCAGATGATAAGAAACATGTTTGAGGAGTTGAATTAATATGTTTATTGTTCTATTTTTTTTTTTTAAATGTACTGAAGGGGGAGAAAGCAATGGTTTCACAATGAAAGACAAATGTCTAAGCTATCAAAAGTTTTTGATGTCTCTATCTTCTTCAGCAGCTGAGACATTGAAGTTTTTGAAAATGTTAGCAATTCTGTCAGCTCTAGCTTTAATTCTATGCAGTGCCTTACGTCTTAAAAGCATTAAACTTCAATTCAAAATAAAATGTACATTTTGCTTTTTCAGAACAAATTATTCCTGCATGTGTGAATATATATCCTGAAAATACTATCATCATTATTATTATTCCATATATATAGAAAAGGCTGAAGTAAAGTTTAACAATGTCCAAGACGAGCTAAGCTTTTAGAGCGGATGCAAACTGAAGCGCTGTGCGTGGTGCTGCCTGTCTGGCAGGTGATAAGGCATAAACACTTAAGTACTGTCTCTGTCGTGATGTTGTAAAATGTGTGCAATAAATCGTACAAAAAGCAAATGCCCACCTTTTTTTTTACATGCACATCAGTATCTGCCTCTGTTAAATGTTGAGAAAATACAACCTTGTTTCACCACAGCTTGTAGCGATTACTGATTGTTGAAGAATTTGTGTCCGTCTCCTTCAAAGATACTGCAGGGAGCGATGGTAAACTACATAACATCCCCTTATCAGTAGCAATAGCTCAACCTGGCTACTAGATGCAGTTGACAAATAGCCACGGCAGTGAATCTACCCATTCGCACTGTCACCACCTGAGCTATGTACGGGCCTGATGCTAAGCTATTAAAGAGAAAAAGTGCCACATCCATTTAGAGTCACTGTTATTCCCAGTGGTCAGAGTCATTAATATAGGCCAAGATACAGTAGCTCTCCATGACATACACTGTAAGGACAGTAGATACAAAGGGAAAATGTAAGCACAAAGGCTGGGGTGGAGGGAGGGAGAGACATCGAAGGAAAGCAAAAGATTTCAGTGACGTGCACATTCCATTGAATTAGTGGCGATGATGACAGATGAGATAAAGGGAATAACATCAGTGAAATAAAACAATACAGTTATAGCATATAAAAGAAGACAGAGAATCAGAAAGAAGCAGGGGGAGAGAGAAATCCTTCAGTGAATTGAGTGTGAAGTGTAGGTTGATTTTAAAACCACACACAGTGTCACATTTGAAGAATAAACAAATGTGTGAACCATATCCCGAGGCAGTTTTTTTTTTCTTTCTTTGCTGCGATTCGTCTTTGTAGCAGAATGCATGTGTGCTCTGGAGACACTGTGACCATGCAGGAATTATCGCTCCAAATAGGCCACATTAACCTGCAGTCCTCTGGGGCACTGGCCTGGTTTATCCACCAATGAAACAGTGCATGTCACTGCCTGCACACATGCAAAGTGCAAATACACACACACACACACAAACATAATTGCAGTAAAATTGTGCTGAACATAAAGGAAGAAGGAAAGGAAGAAACAAACTATCAAACTAATGTACAAACTAAGGAAATGGAAGGATGGATGGATGGATAGAGTTGCAGGCATTGGAAACGAAGCAGACAGACAAGTTAACCAATTGACAGTGTTCTAAACTGGACCTGACCGAATTGTCGAGCTTGTTGTCAAACTGCTGTCTGCTTCCGAAGACTACACGTCTGTTTGTGTACTGCTGCTATGACTCGATGGAAGAGGCAGAGAGAGCTGCAGCCGAGAGTTGACAGAAATCACAAGTCCCTGAAGAATATAAAGTAACTAAAAGTGCCGCTGTTAATACCTAAACCAAGCGGAGACAGAGTAAATGATCGGTTATTCTGGTTGTAAACAGACCAAATTCCATTCAATGTGGAGTATAGTGTTGACCCACCAAAGGGTCTGCGTTACATGTTTGCTGGGCTTTCAAAGACTACTCGACTAGTCGACTATCAAAACTTCTGGTCGACATCTTTCATCTGTGGGTTAAGCTCAGTGCAATATTGAAGCAGTCGCATCTACATTATGCAGCAGGGGTTGGTATTGTTATTGACATGCAGCAAGAGCAACAGCCGGAAACAAACAAGGCCGTGTGACCATATTTAGATCCTCAACAACAATGCCTGCACGACATCGGCCAACACTAGCAGTAGCAAAGTTAGCGAGGAGAAGCACCAACAAGTGGACCGTGAAGACCGACCACAATCGTATAATTAATATCATCATATCACCGACCATAAAATGTCCTATCTCTCTCTCAAACATCTCTCCACATCACTACTGTCAACAGCTTTAATAAAAACTAGTGCATGCACAATTCTAATGAATTCTAATCAATTGAATTGCTTGTGTTCTACCATGCTGCCACCTACTGAGAATTACATCTCCAGTTAGATAATGTGCACTCATTGAACGGCAAGTTTCTTATTTAAATGAGGTGAAATTAGCCTGACACTGCATCGTACACAGACCAACTGAATACAACCTTGCAAACTTTTAAGTGAAATACCAAACATCTTCCTTCTCTTTCCAACCAAATGACTTATGGCACTAATTACATTGATCCATGCCAGCTTAATGAACCAATAATGTGAGGCTGCCATCGCCAAGAAAAGGCACTATGATATAATTAATGACTTATCACTAACTGTGTCAGCAGAGCTCTTATCAGTTCATTATGTGCCACCACTCTCCGCATTATGAATCCTGATTACACCCTCTCCTGGTCACAGTACATGCTATTCACATGACTTTTAGAACATGCTGCGCTGTGGCGAGGCCTCAATTCAACAGCCCAGTGGCTCTAAGGTGCTGTTTGTCTTCAGCGTGTGTTGATTTACCGCTGCAGTTATACGGACCGAGCACAGCGGGGTGTGTGGTTGGTGAAAAAGGCTCACGCTGGTACACGATTTACCACAAACAAAATGAGACTATCTATGAAAATACTGTATCATAGCAGCAGAACAATACTGGTAACCTCATGTGTTGCAATTAGATGTACAAGTCCAATCCACAGTGTATTGATTTGTCTAGCTGCTGTGCAAATTTCCTTTGTGAGTTTTTCTATACCCTTCTGTTGAAAATACAAATACCGGCAAAGTAAATTATAGATAACACTGGATCCTCTCTGCACACCTTTGAAGAACACCCATTTTATTAATCCCTGCTTGCAAGAAGACAATCCTTCCCTTTCTATATACACTGGTTAGAAGTTTCCAGACACTAATAAAAGCAATAACTCACAATGATAGAAGCAAACCCAATGGACCTTTGACTCTGAAGAATGCTTCAAAAGCTATGCCATGTTTTAAGGCGATTCTCATTCAAGTCAAACACTGGTCTGGATATTTACTGCTGTGATTCTGACCCAAATGTTAATGATAGCTATTAAGGCTAGGCTGTTTAATGACATCGAGGGAGCTGGGAATGTGGTGTGACCGACTTGGGTGTTTTCGCGTGGGTAAGATACGGTAATGGGATTAACATGGCGTACCTAAACCCACATTGAGATAAACTCAATGAGGCTCTATTAAAAATACACAGCTTGCAACAATGGAGCTATGAAGGGAGCGGGTGTCTCTCTGAGTACTTCTGATCAAAAATGAACTGGAATTCATTCTCAACTGGAAAAACAAAATGAGTCGGTGAAGGTCTTGACTTTACTCTTATGTTGGGTAGTGAATGATGTGGCACACAGGTGTCGTTCATTTTCTTTTTTTTATGCTGCAGTATTACAAAAAATAATTAAAGAGGAATAAACAAAATGGATACTTGCATCTTACGTCAAAGTTAAAGTAGCGTCACACCCAGACCACATTACTAACAGCAAGTAACATTAGCTTACTTATTCAGGTGTGTTAAAACTTTTTTTTAGTACAACATTAATTTATATTAATTCATCATTTTAAATGATAGTAACAACTTAAAAAAATCAGCAATACAAATTCTTTACATTCTATTATGTATTTTACCAAGTTATGTTAGTGTGAATGGTTCTTTGTCTCTATATGTTGGCGACGTGTGCAGAGTTGACCCCGCCTCTCGCATAATGTGAGCTGGGATTGGCTCCAGCTCCCCCCTTGACCCTCAGTAGGACTAAATTGTCCAGGGGCTGGATTGGTTGGTGAAAGTTTGCAGGACTTGCTACCCAGCATAAAGAAGCCTTAACCAAACCAGATAAATTACATCCTTGCTATTCAAAACTAACAAAACACAACATCTCTAGAGAACACCATAATCAGACCTCACGTGGTAATAAATTGTTCTCATTAGTGTTGTTGCATCTATATATCAAGTAAACCTGACACTGGGTAAGTGAGGAAATTAACATGAGCTGAACACATGCTGTTTGGCTGACACTGTAAAGTAAGGCTGCTAATGAACCATATTTTGCTTCCACATACAAGTTTGTCTCAGCTCTAGGTTTGTATAAAGGCAGATTTTGTCCATAATATTATAATCTATGTTGCTTTCATGCAGTGTCACAGGACAAGGACACAAGTGCCAAAGTCTTTAAAATGTGATACATTTTGGGTTAAAGAACAACATTAAGATATAAATAAGACCATTTTCTTTTCATTGGTGTAAAACATTGTAAAATTCAAAGCAAACAGGATGTCAAAGTGAATAAAAACACTAGAATGAAACAGCATAGCGGTAGAACACAGCAAGGACCTTACCGGTGTTGTTGCGATAGGGGCCTGTGTCCGGCCCCTGGCTCTGGCTGAGGCTCCTCATGGGGCCCTTGTTGTGATAGACACGTTCTTCATAGATGGGATCTATGTGATGTTCTGGGGACCCCAAAGGCCGAAGTGGCTCCTGACTATGCTGACTACTGTAGGAGCCACGAGAGCCTGGATAAAAGAGAGAAGGAGAAAAACAACACTTTCAGTTTGAGTTATATATGTTACAGAATAAGTGGGAACATTTTGGGACAAGGAAGACAATGTGGTTGAGTCTAGTGTCAGGGTTCGGCATTTAGTTGTGATGGTTAAAGTTAGCTGGTGGCTGGGCTCAGCCTTAGAGATAGGGTGAGGAGCTCAGACATCCGCAAGGAGCTCGGAGTAGAACCGTTGCTCCTGCGTGTCGAAAGGGGACAATGGTGGTTGAGACAGGATGGCTCCTGGGCATCGCCCTAATGGTCTCTCACCCAGTAGGCTATGCCTGGTGTAGACCCAAAACTCGCTGGAGGGATTATCTATATCCCATCTGGCCTGGGAACACCATGCCATTCCCCAGGAAGAGCTGGAAAGCATAGCTAGGGAGAGATGTGTTTGGGATACCCTAGTTGGCTAGCTATCTCCTTGGATGGATGGATGGTTTGATGGATGGATGATTAGGATAACAGACTAGGGAATGCAATGTGTCAGTGTCGTCACTACGACAGAAGTTCAGGAATGTATGTCTGTGTGAGTGTATGGAATTGACGAGTTTCAAGATGCACCAAATCAGAGCTCAACAAAAAAAATGACAGACAAATAAAAAGAGACATACATAGTGACACATGAGATAGCAGAAAATAGACAGAGATCGAGGTAGATGAGGGGAAAAAAGAGGAGAGCCTCTGTATTTCATTTTTATAATCTCCATGGAACACATTGCTGGTTGTCAGCTATAAAATAATGAGATGCAGTGTCCCCCCTCTTGCTCTGCGTTTGGCAGGAATCCCACAGACACGGGCCAGGGAAGTCATTGACGGCAGGCATTTGTTCATTACACAGCAGAACAAATGTAAGGCAGGGGCCTCTGTATGAAAATTAAAATTAGGAGAGAGAAAGAACAGAAGGAGGTGGAGATTCAGGGTATGAAGAAGGGGAGTCAGCAGTGCATTGGTGGCACAACAGGGAGATAAAGTGAAAAGACGTGCACACAGTCGTATATGCAGACTTAGATAGCAATGAGTGATGAAGAGACAAAGAGCAGGTCCAGTGGAGCTAATGCCTCATCATATCGCATTAGTTGCGTGCCAAGGATTTTCCAGTGGATGAGGGGAAAAGTGTAGTGCTCAGTCTCGGATTCAAACCTCCTTGTGTATCCACCATCAAGTTAACACAGTCGAAGCCCCTCGACCTTTCAGATCATATCAGAAATCAATGCATGAGTGGCACTCAGCCGTGCTGTAACTTTTTGTTGCAGCTTAGTACTGGTGTCTATTTCTCGTCCTGGCTGTCCAACAAAACTGACAAGGCCAAGAGACTGTTTTAAAGATGAATCAGAGTGAGTACTCACACAGAAATATGCAGTAGGGATCTATTATCCTAAAACGTCTTTGTAGGATAGTCTTTGAGGTAGGGTGATGCAAGCAGCCTGGGGTAAGAACAAGAACTTGGGGTACTCTAGCGCGGCTTGTGATAAGACTCTGGTTTGCCTGACTTGATCATGACAGTGGTGATTGCGTTTCCTGCAACTGCGTCATCCTTTTTTTCACGGCGTGTTTATATGACCGGCCCGTTAACTTACCCAAACATCCAAAAAAAGGGTCATATTATTTTATATATATATATATATATATATATACATGTATGTATACAAACTATTTGTATGTTCATATTGAGCACTATTTTGAATGCCTATTTATATATATAAATATATACACCCTTATCTTATATATAGTATACTGCAATTTAGTATTCAATTCAGTTACATTTATGCCCATTTATGTACATATATCACATAAGATTGTATAGACTAATTATATTCACATTGTATACCATACCTTCCTCTATACTTCTAACAGTCTATAAATGCATATAGGTATATGTCTATTTCAGTACCTCATACATAATGCACATATAGTATACATCATCGTGCATTCATCCTGTGATGACAAAATGACAAAAATGAAGGGAGGGAGCTTAAACTTTGGACATTAATGCACCTATTGAGCTTATTTGAAATGAGGTTAATTTCAAGAGAGCTACACACAGGGGGGGAAAAAGAAGCAAGAGAAAGACAGCGATGGTCAGAATATGCATGAAGGACTGCTAATTAGACTCATGGACACACCCATTAACAGCATGACTCATCCCAACTCTCCCTCCTCCTCCCATTCCCTTTGTCTTTGAAGTCGTGGTGATTCAGATTTATTTCTTTATTCAGTTATTTTTTGAGTCACTAGGGCCCACTCATCGAAGTGCTGACCTCTTTCTTTCAAAGGAAGAGGGAACTTTAAGAAGGGAAGGCAGAATGATGCAGAGAAGGAAAAAAATAAATATGTCCTATGTGATGTTTCATTCAATAAAATATTTAAACAAGATAACAAAATGTAAAAGGAAAAAAAAACCACTATGGTCCCTTGATAGTATACAGTCCTGTGGTTTTCGTAATAAAAAGAAAATAGAAAATTGCCTACATTCAATATCTAAATAAAAACCCAACTGGCATCCTGTTTCAATTCTCCTTAAACTGTGTTAAAACATCTATCTGACCAGCAAGTCAATTTAATACAATAAAACAATCCTCTACCTACAAACTCCACAAATGTCTGTCTGTCTGTATGTACAATAGCAGGTTGAAATCTGATTTTTTTTCCCCATATCAGCAGTCAAGTAAATCATTCAAATGAATATATAAACCACACACGTGAACAACAGTGAAGCAAAGTCTGTTTCATTTTACGAATAACATTCTTTTCAGACAAGGTAGGGTGAACACGAAGTTTTCGAATTTCACTCTGCACCATAAACCATTTATAAAAAGCCCTGCTCACAATGTCCAGCATGTAAACAATAAAAAAGTGAGAGTATATTGTAAAACTGTTTGTTGAGGACTCACTAATGACAACGAATAATTGTAAAGTAGCATCAACGCAGAAGAAAACAGTCTATTCCAAACAGGCAGGTTTGAAACAGGCACCGTACTAATATATTTAAATATCCAAGTGATCTCTGCTGTAATCGAGGCTCCATTGTCAACCAACAGTCAGTGCTGCTCAATCACGACCTATCAAACAATATCTAAGTTTTATTCACTAATAACTTTTTATCATATCTGTTTGCTAAAAGAGACTCAGTCATTTGTTTTCCTCGGCTGTGACAATATTTATACACAATGGTTTGTATCGCTCGGGGCCTTCATGCAGAAAGCGAAGGGGAAATGTCTTTTTTTAGTTGACTTCTGTTTCACACAGCACGGCTTCACTGCAGAGTAGGTGCTGTAGAGATGCTGAGTACCACTTCAAACAGGCTACTCAGATTAAATTTACTGGGCTTTTTTTCCCCAGGAGGATGTTACCTACTGGGAATAAAAGAACCTCAACCTCAAACTAACAGTGTCTACAAATATTTCTTTGTTTGTCCAGTTTTGGAAACATGGTGAGTAAAATAATTACATTCAATCAAGTATTTGAAAGCAAATTTACAGGATTGATTAGTTGTCCCCAGCTTGGCGGTCCAAGCTCATCAGAGTAAATTCTGATGATCATTTGACCCAGGTCTGCTCATTATAGTTAAAGTCTGAGATCTATTTTCACCCAGAAAAGAATCAATCCTGCTCAGTCATTCAATATAAGTCTTCAAGAAAGATAAAAGTCCAGGCACTGCTTCAACATTGCTGCCCTGAACATACAGGATCTGGCATAATGTCTCTTGGGTGAGGTCAGAGTACAAAATGCATTGAGATCAGATCATTCACACCTTATTTGGACGAGATGTGGACGACATGTGACTACTTTCTTTTCACAAATCTGTCCTGGGTCACACTGAGTGACAGTCTGTCAACAGTGTGCAAGAGGAAGAAAGTTCTCAATATGTGTAGTCGGGCTTTGTCCACAACATCTTAAAAATTAAAAAAGCATATTGCTATATTACAGGAGCATCAAACATCTGGGGTGTTTGGGTTTGCCTGGAACACACCAAGGAATAGACCTGTAATGTACCAATTTGATTTGTTTTCTTGTTTTAATTTCCGACAGACTGGACACAGGAAGTGCTGCTGTCTCCCACTGGTTAAGGACAACATTGCATTTGGTCCATGCAAAACTAAATGATAATCATTATTTATTTCACATTGAGCAGGAAAGACTGTCCTTTAGATAGTCCCTTTCAAACCAAATAAATGAATTCAAAGTACCCTACGGGTGGTTAGCAAAACATGGAATACATATAGGGAAATGGACGGAGCCCACTGTCCGCACTCTGCTTTAATTTTATTAGTATTTGTGCATGTCATCTGAGAGCTTACTAATGACGAAGCACTGGAAATCATAGGGGAGCAGAGTAGCCAATAGTTAACGAGAAACAACTGTGAGACACGAGGACGAACTTTTTGACGAAACTCAAAGCATCGATATGATGTTACTTTATCCAGGCACATTATCGCAATCTCCTCCACTGTCGTCATGTTTGTTGTTGTCAGAAACGCTCAACTCTGTGCTGCCTTCTAGTGGATGTATTACTTAACAATCTGTAAGTATGGGAGTATGTGGGGATTGACGGTTACATTGTTTGGAATGGACATATCTCTTTTTGTCCATAAAGTCAGCTTAAATTTGCATTTAGTCTAAATAGTAAATTCCTTGAAACATTGGGCTATCGACAGCATTTACACCAACCTACGATGCACCAACACAAGTTCATTTTGGGCTTGCCATTTAGCCAACTCAATTATGTAGAGTCAAGAAAGAAAGCCAATAACAAGTCAATGCAACAGCAGGAGGAAATATGCTCTGACATCTCCCTCGATGTACAGCTGCTGTGATACAGAGTAGACCTTGAGAGACCAAACATAACACACTGATATGCTCATATAGACCGGCTAATTCAAAAGACGTGAATGCAGCACTTGACATTTCTTGGACTCAAAGTATGATGCAACGTAATAGAAAACAGGGGTGACACTGACACTAGATGTTGGATCAACAACAGCCACAAACATACTCAAAGAGAGATTTCCTCACATCCCATAGTGCAGGTGGTTGTGGTTTATGAGGTTTATGTGCATGTGCATATGCAAGTGAACCTCCACAAGTGTGTGAACTCCCACCTGCTAGACTGCCAGGTCTCTGTAGCGTAGCGGTAGCGTAGAGCTCATGGGAGATCTTGTACTGGTCGGAGGCGTGGTGAGATGCCAGTCTTTTGGGAGACAGAGTCGCATAGCTCCCTATGCCTGAACTCATCTGAAAAGACAAGGAGTTGTTTTTTTCTTTCAAATGTTATCAAGGGGCTCAGGGAATGTACAGGGTGGTGTTTATATACTAGAGCAATTACTGGTTACACTGCAATGTTATGACATGATTGTTGTATTTTCATTTGTGTGGTTCAGATAAAAAAAGTTGTATGTGCAAACCACTTGTAGTTAGGAATGTAATTTAAGTCTTTGAACACCTACAGGGTTTAGATATACACGAAGCATAACCGATATATACAAGGATCTTTTAAAATCATGTTATATTGATATTTGAAATGATTATCCATTCAAAGGATTAAAACTGATTTGTTTTTTGTTGGAGGATATGACTGAATCTGCAATCAGATCAAATCTCTGGCTGCAACATCCAGTTCTTTGTCATAATTAAAGATATAATGAAGTGATCATAACACTCGACCACATGGCATCAATCAGAAGTCTGACTTTGTGATATCATAATTAAATAGAAGGTAAATGACAGCTTTGTTGGAGAAACAGTGGACATTGCAGTATGAATGTTGTTCTTTCAGTAATCTTTGTGTGACTCAGATCACTTTCTAAATCCTCAGAACAGTCAGTAGAATAATTCGCTCTTGAATGCAAATCATGCAGTTAATAGCTAAAGTCAATTAATTTTTCAAAACAATCTGACAAATTCAAATAATTATCAAACCAGAACCAGAAAAATATTTAACTAAGACAGATGACAAGAGGAAATATTTTGATATCATAATTTATCTCATGGACGAAGGGAGAAGGTTCTGTGTGCACACGAGTTAAATGTTCTCAGAAATTTGCGAATCAAACATATTTCCGTGCACAAGTGTGTGTGACATTATTTGTCAATTTCTTTATGGATTTCACCACTTTGAGGAACACTTAAAAAACATCCATATTTAATACTTCGTTAATGTTTTAAAGGTTCTGCGACTGTAAAGCGTTCTCTACCTGGTGAAGAGGTGATGATGATGAGCTGGCCCCTCCCCCCGCTGCTGTGGAGTTGGGTGGAGATGCCACCCTCAGGGGAGACCCGACCCCTCCTGCTGTTGTCACGGCAACAGTGGTGCTGGAAGACAAATAGCGAATAGTAACATAATTTGTCGGAGAAATAATGACTCTGAATGATTAATTCCACTGCACACATAGAGTGACATGTGAGAAATGTGGAGTGTGCTCCCTGCACGCTGGCAAAGCTTGGAGGACAATGAACTTCAAAGGTAGAATTTCCTATTCGATTCTGTTGTATCCCATCATCATGTATTTACTTTTCTCTCAAGCGTGACTGATGTGTAAATACAGTAATTCCTTCATCTGCCACCCCCTTTATCCACCGTCAAAGACCTCAGACTTTATTATACATCAGTAGTAACAGCGATACGTCAAAATCAATATCAGTGTCACAGCCACTGCGGCTCTGTACCTGTAAGACTTGGCCAGTCGATTACCAGGAGACTGTTTGTTGGGAGAGGAGGAGGAAGGCAGACGTTCAGTGGTGGCGTACCCAGGCGCATCGGAGGCTGATCCCAGGCGCTGAAGCTTGCTGGGAGAACCGGACCCTGAGCCTCCTCTTCCTCCAGACAGAGGAGAACTGACACGCTGGGCGGGCAAGGTGGAGCTGGAGTAGTAGATACCTGGAGAGCAAGAGAATGGAGAGACTCAGTGAAGCGCATACCTCCGTCAAGCCAAACCCCTTATGAAACCAATTTTAATTCTCTGCACCAAGATTTTTATTTGGATCCACACCAAATTACATCAGATATCCCAAAACATGCCAGCTCATTCTCTGAGAAATCAACAAAAATGTTTTAAAAAACTCCCTGTATCCGGTCCCTGATGCAGATCCAAAACAATATTGATTTGGTTGTTTCCTGGGTCATATAATTAATAAACATGGGAATTAAAAGAACGTGTGGTAATAAGGTTCAGCTGATATTGATCATTTGGAGTACATGGAGCAAATGCCTGATATTTAATAGTGGGGTGATATCAGGGAGAAGAAAATAAAAGCATAAAATATAGAGAGTCTCCAGTGTTAATATCACTTGTTTATAAATTACATTGAAAAAAGAAAATTGTTGAAACCACTTAAAAACTAACTTAAACACACAAAATAATTAAGTTTGTTTGATTTGATTTAATTTAAGAGGTAATTCTAACACAATCGCTAACTTTAATTTGAAAGACTTAATTTGTTTTGTTATTTTTTTAAAGTTGGTTAAACAATTTTCTTTTTTGGTGAATGGAAGAATATTAATCTACAGACATGAGACAATATACTGTACATACTACAGGCTCTGAAAACACTGTTCTACTAGCAACGTTTTTAGTCCAATTCTCATGCATGTCCGTCACTGTCTCCAAATGTCATCTCTGAGTATCCACAGTGCTTCATGCCACGTCAGTTTAATTTATAATACAGAAAATGCATTTCCACAAGGGGAGAGAGATGGGGAGAGGGGACTATACCTGATCCCGCCCCGCTTTGTGATTGCTGTTGCTGGGCAGCACGGCTCGATGTCACCTGAGGGGCAGAAAGGCGACACGGACAAGTTAGGGAGGAAGAGGTGTGACAGCGAAGAAAGGGACAAATGGAGGGAGTGATTGGTGGGGGAGGGAGGAGTTGTGACGTGGGAGAAAGGGAGACTGAGTTAAGGAAAAATAAAAGAGAATAAAGAACAGTAGCCATCAAAAACTTTTATGCACAATGAGTTCAGTCGAGCCTTTGAGGATCCCAAATGAACCTAGAGCGGCTAGTAATGAAGTCCCCACAGAGAACAGAGGGGTGATTCAAACAGACTCACAGAGGCAGACCGTGTAGTCCACGGAGCTCCACTGACTGATATCCCTCCTCCTACAGCCTCGCTGCACCACGCTACTCGGAATCCATGAAAGAATTACACAATATACATATTCTCATCTTAATATTTCTCATCTTTCGTCGCATGATTCTCAATTTATCTAAAATCGTTGACTTCGTTATTATCTATTATTCTTTGTGTGGAGTCATGACTGTTCTCCATGTGCCAGTGATGGAAATGGCAGGGCATCCACTAAAATTGGCAATAAGGAATATACTGTTGGGGTGTCTGTAGATTTAAAAAAAGGCATTGACAATAAGTTCAGGAATATATAGACATATAGTGTAAACATCTGAAAAGTATAAAGAAATGGTTTGACACTAACAACTTATCACTGGATTTAAGTAATTATTAAGTATAATATTTGGTGATAGGCAAATCAAAAATCGTGTCAATGATGTTGAAATACAAAGAGTGTATGGAAATAAATTCCTGGGTGTGATTATTGATCATAAATTAATTTGGAAATCACACATAAATAATCTCTAAACAAAGTATTGCAATATCACATAAAACCAAGGCGTCCTGAATCCAGAAATATAACATTTATTATACTGTTCCCTCATTGTTCCATACATAAGTTATTGTGTGGAGCTGTGGGGAAAATAACATAAGTCCACTTTTTATTAAGTCATATATCTTATACGCTTATGATTTAGTTGAATTAAAGACTGTACAAATAATGTATAAAGCATATCAACAAAAGACCATTTAAATTGCAACAGAGCCAATATTGATTATTATTAACTGAGGGTGTAATAGCTTTGAAAACAGTATGTGATGAAATCATCAACATTTCTTATTTTCTTCAAAGTCAAGTATCAGTCTATGAGAAAAAATCTGAGAATTGCTTTTTACCAAACGTCACATGCAAAACTATTCAAATATATAAACTCTAGCCTCCCGGGAGCGTGGGGAACATATGCCAGTGCTTCACTGAGCCTCATAGGCTTATGTTGATGTTAAACGCTGTAAAGGTGATTCAAATACATTATTACAAGAGTGACGTGGCTGCAGTTGTAAGAGGCTACATTATGCAAGCACACAGTCACTGAGTCACCTTGGAGCACTGTCATCACTGAATGTACGGTAATTGGATTCAAACCTTCTGTTTCGTACAAGTAACAAGAATATACATTGTCAGATTTTATACATTTACATTGTGTGACATGACACATGCATCCATGTCTGCTATTCATATGTCTGTACAGTATATTATGGTCGAAACATGTGCGCACATTTATACAAACACACACTTGCCTTGTAATGTATAATGTAGACATCTCATCATCCAATAAAACACACACACACACACACAAACATCTGGAGTTATGTTTTAGTTGGTCAGTTACAAATATGTGAGTATTCGCAACTGTATGATTGTGCGGGAGTTGGCAAACCTAAATATAGCACACGATATCCTCTTATGTTCTCAATGACAGTCTCTGGTTGTATTTTCCTGCTTTGTGACGAGCCAAAGACAACAGGCCTTTGGTTTAGCACTGCTGTGTTTGCACAGGGGGTCATGGAAAGTGTCTTATCACCGGTTGAGTGGATTAGTAGTCTCCTTCTTAAAAAAAAAAAATCTTAGGGTTTATGATGGCGGACAGGAGGAGAAGCAGAGACAGGGGAGACTCTAAAAAGGTCTGATAATGCATAATGTACTGTACAGTAAGCTGCTGTGCTTTCATTTGTTATCTGACATGTTATGGCACAACAACATGTTATTGTGTATATGTGGCAAATTCTTACCAATGATATCAGAGAGGAAAAATTACAATATTAAGACAAACTGCTTTTAATATTTCAGTGTAGGTTGTATTTAGAATTGGGTGAGTAATAGCTTTATGAGCTTGTCCTTCAAACAAGCTACATTTCTGCCTTCACACATAGCAAAATGCTTTTGCCCCAGAGCTGGCACACAACACACTGTCACACTTTCAGTGGTCCCACATGCTGCGTAAAATGATGGAACATGGGTGGTCCACACCTTTGACATGGGCCACAAGTGAGCCATAACAATACCACATGTCAACCAAGGGTGGACCAAATTTGTTGTGCCCTTGTGGTAAATTCGCCATTTACTGTAAGGGCCTCTTTAGGTTTCTCTCCAGATTACACTTTGCCTAGAGCACCACGTTTGCTAAAAAATGCCCAGATTTGTTTTGGGATATGTGGGCCACGTTTGTTAATTTAATTTAGACTCACTTCCATTTTGTTTGGGCCACGAGAAGGTCAAGGTGGTGGGATTTATCACTTGCATATTTTCAAAGTGTAGCCTGCTCTTCAAAAAAGCCTAGCTCAGCTTTTCCATGATTACCAACCTTAGCTGTAAGTGCTTATCTTTATAATGATTTCACAGGTCCTCTGACTTGAACTTCAGCTAAATGTGAACTACTGCTGAACAGTTTCAGTCTTTAAAAAGAAAGCTATTTGAGTATTTAAGATGTTAATAGTTTTAGGTTTAAATGCTTTACATATACTGTGTAACTTGATCGGTTTGTTTAAGTGCACATGGACAGGATATTAGTAAAAAGGAATAGCCAGAGAGAGGGACTCTTGAATATGTATGAGCCAATTTGAAAACTCTGTCCACCATAAAAGTTCCCTGTGTTAGTTTAGTAGGTTATGAAGCCAGGTGAGAGAGCAGAGGATGATGAGATACAACCAGCACAACTGAGTTAATGGTTTGTGTCGCATGATTGTACTCGACGCTGCAGCTCTGCCTCACTCATCAAGATTTAAAGCGAGACTGAAATGGACTTTGGACTGATGAAGAGGTGCGTGGATGTTGTGGAATGAATAGGTGAATGGATAGATGGATAGATGGATATGGATAGCAGATTGGCAGAGTAAATAAATTATGAGTATAGATGAATTGTTGGCTGAATTCCCTCGTTGAAGTAACGCTGTGACACACCGTGTGAGGGAGAGCACTTTCTCAAACTCGCTCTGTGTCATCTCGCAGTGCTGCTTATTTTCCCCGCCAGTAAAACACTGGGATGTTTGAGGTGCCATGTATCCATGCATTATTAAAGCTGGGCCTCTCAGGGTTATAAATACCCTACAGAGGAGCAGCAACATGCCAGACTTTCATTTTCTCTCTCCCTGTAACAGTCACTTGTGAAAACTTGCTAAAAAAAATGCACACATGGTGGAAGGCGTGCATGCAAAACAATCCCATGTGCATATACACACATGCACCTCCAGCTGCACAAGTCTGTCTGTAAACACACTGACAAAACTGCATGTATATACATGCTAGTGCTGCTAGAATGGCAGCTCCATGCAAGCTGCATCTGCCCATCCAGCAGCACTGGCATGGGTAAAGCTATTCATGGGCAACAAGCCCTGCTGACAACACTGGCCCCATTACTCTGACAAGCCAAAGACATCAGAGAGAGGAATACACACACGCACACACACAAACACACACACACACACACACACACACACACACACACACACACACACACACACACACACACACACAGAGAGAGATGGTGAGCAGAGAGAAAAGCAAGGCAGAGGAGAAGGGAAAAGAGGACAGGAACACTGCAATACAAGGACAAGAAATATATAATTCTGACTCTAGAAAGAACAAATGAGAATTCCTTTTGCCTCATCTGTCCCTCCATCTTTATGTCTGTCTATTTGTTTTTCTATCCTGTCTTTTCCCACTTTATGTATTATTCATCAAGGGAACGAGTGAGCGCTTTCTCTGAAACCAGAAATGAAATGAGCTGAAATGAGCTTGGTGTGACTGTAGTGGGGGAGGGATTAATAAACGTGTTTACAAAGACAGACCTTGTCACTATGTGCAAAGAAACACAAGCTTATACACACCGGTTTGCACACACACACCCACACGATACAAAAAAATAAACACAACACAAAACAAACACCATTTACTTCAGAGCTCACTGACAACTTGTGCAGGTATTTACAAAAATGTGTGTGTGTCACACAGTAGGTGTATTCCTATTGATCCTGTAAGCGAGACAGCACTGTTATGGTGTTTCTCTCTTCATCTTCAAACTACTTTGGTTAACATGTGACTTTTCTCTTCCTGTAAAAAACGAGATTTCATTGACACATCTCTGTGTGTAATTAATTGTCTCCTCTTTTTGGTCACTGAGTATCTGATTACCTTCCTCTTTCTAAATAGCATTGAGGAATTCCTCCTGAGCCTTTTACTTCCTCCAAGAGGCAGACAGAGTGCTCTGGCCTGCTTGAAAAGGACTTCATTCAGGCTAATGAAAAGGGATTCTGTGTATATATGTGCAAAAACAAATCCACATTCTGTGAGGGTAATTCGAGTCAGAGTTATTCAGCTGATGATGTCAGTGCATGAAAAAAAGGGTTAAAGGAAAAAAAAAGGTCTCTGAAGAGGAATCAAAGAAGCAAGGGATCTAGAACTAGCGTGCACATTATAACCAAACACTGTGCTGGTCCTCAAAGGACTGGATGGCTTCAATTATTGCAAAAATTCACTTCAGGTGAGTTACTTTCACAGTCAAAATCATGTCAATTACTTAGATACTCTGGTGGTCAGCCTAGTATGGAGACTGAAAGCCAAAGACTTCTGAGCAAAAGTTTACAGATTCTTGTCCGACTGTGCATTTCATCATCATCATCATCAACAGCAGCATCTGCATTACCGTGTGTGCAGCAGCTTTTCTTACCTGGTTGTAGCTGTGCACAGCTCCTCCAACCTGCCCGCTGCGCTGAGGAGTTGCTGCGGAGATGCTGTCGCTAAGGGCGAGGGTCTGGTTGCTATGGTAGCTGGCAGAGTACTGGAGCGAAGCCTCCGGGGTGGAGTTGAGCTGCAAGGAACTCTGGGAAAGGAGAGCCGGTCCTACCGATAGAGACGGGAGAGGTGTGTGTGGTTGGGTGGGAAGAAGGGGGTTGAGTTGAGTTTGTGGTTTGTGTGTGTGCATTGGAGAGAGAGAGAGAGAGAGAGAGAGAGAGAGAGAGAGAGAGAAGGGGGCAGAAGAGGGAGGCAGAAGAGAGAGAGAGATTAAGAGTGAGAAAGAGAGGGGGCATGAAGGAGAGATTGAGAGGTGAAGAGTGAAATGGGGAAGAGAGAGAGAGCAGCAATTTAGAGCAGATAGTGCAGCAGTGCAGCACTCCGTGAGTTGGCGATGGCATACATAATTTATTAGCAGAGGGGAAGAGAAACAGAGGAGCAGAGAGAATGGGAGGAGGAGGAGCAGGGAGATGGAGAGGATGGGAGGAGGAGGGCTGAAAATAAGAAAGTTGTAATAGATGGAACACCTAACAACTCGAAACTTTATCCTAAACATGTTAATTTCTGCTTTGCTGCATCGCGGGATGTTGCAATGTGGCTTCATACGCCCTGATTTCTGAGGCAAACTCGAGTCTCCTTCCAAAAACGTTAACAGTCTGAGCTACCGCTGCAGGGAGTGTACTGAATGAAAGGATTTGGTGAAAGGTGAGGTATGGCTGTAATAACACACAGCGCACACACTGAGAAAGATAAGTAAGGTAAGATTCATTAATTCAAATTGGTTCAACAGCATAAAATTTCATGATACAATTCCCCAGATTTATGTGTGCAGTGGAGACATTTTAGGATGCATCCAACATCTTTGCAGGTAAAATCAGCTTTATTTATATATAATTATTTATGAAGGCTTTGTCTAATCATTATATTTAGAGGATAAGAAATAAATTGTATAGGTATAGAAACAATAACCACTGATTTCTGCTAAGAGTTGTTGAAGGTGTTCTACTGGTCGTAGTTACGGCACATAATTAGAATTGTAGTTATGGCATATCTATATATATAGAGATACATATATATAGCCAAATTTTTCTTTGTAAATCATGAGCATCATCCTGTTCTTTAACTTTTAAAAGTGTGTGGTTATAAAACAATAATCAAAGACACAGAAAGGTCCAGACGCGTTTTTATTTTTAAGACTCTTTTTGGAGTTGAAGTAACAAAACAAAAGCTGCTGAACTAGAACCAGAAAAATAAGATGAAGATTGTACTGTATTGAATTGCAGAGCGTCATATTCTTTTTTAGCATCTCATTGGATCGAATTGAATTGTAAATCTAGTCGGGGGTGTAACATACTGGCTTTATATGTATCTTTCATGTACTGGATAGTCATCAAGATGCATACTACATCAGCATCAGTCATGAGAATGCACGTCTCGCACAGACAGATAACAATCTCACGGCCCTATCCCCCCCCAGTTTAGGAGCAACATCACTGCCACCACCTGACAGAGTCACTACTGTGGCACCGATTAATAATCCCCTCACTCTGAGTCCCCTGCCGGGCTCATAAAGCTCATATTGATTGGGACGAAGAACATCATGAGGCAGTTTTGAAGATGGACTATCTTCTAAACTGCGTATGGGGTGATGAGGTCGGCTGGAGGGAAATGTTACAAACCACTCAGTTGTCAGTGGTGTATGTGGTTGTATACATTATCTGTTTGTGTTTGTGTGTGTGTGTGTTTGGTTTTGATTCACTCAAGAGCAGTTGGGTCTGTGACCTGTTCATTCGGCAGTCTATACATATTTCATTATGTTTCTATTCTTATTCTACCCCCACTCTGAATACAAAATTCCAGTGCACGAAATGTATGTAATTATAGTTTGTAGCATAAGGAAGCCAAACTAGGATCATTCTCCTTTCCTTACTTTTGAGATTTCAAATGTTTGAATATCATGAATATATCCTCACAGAGTCTACAAGTGTCTTCCCCAGAGCTCGCTGGCATGTCGGCTTCATCCCCAAAATAACAAAGAGCCTTATTATTGTTCTTCTATTTGCCTGCTCTCCTTCTCTCTCCCTCTTTCTCTCTCTTCCCCCAGAATCCCTTCTTCTCCCCATGACTCTGTGCGATGTTAACCAAGACCAACTCTGCTGCTTCTCCTCTTCATAAAAGACTTGTCTTTTCTAATCTCAATTCATTCCCAGCTTTTTATGAATTATTGAACAGCACTTTGTGTTACACGGTCTGAGTGGGAGCTCCCAAAGTTATCATCACTCAGCTTTGGTGTTTGTTACATTGTGTGTGTCGTGTGACAGAAACTGTGTGTTTGCCTCCGTGTTCAAACGTGGGATGGAAGGTTTGTTTTTGTGATGGATGGTCAGATGAAATCTTTAAGTTTGTTCAAATGGATGTTTGTGCACGTGTGATACTTCACCATGTAGGTGTTGTAAGTAATGTGATGTAAGGGTGTTCGCTGTTTGTGTGAGAGGATGAAATGTAAAAACACTGTCGTCAGGAGGGCTTTACGTCCTTTTGTGTCTGTGTTGAGTCTCAGTCTCCATTTTCAAATGAAACATGAATTTTTCAACAGCTCAGTATAATTATGAAAGTCTCTCTCTCTTTATCTCTCACTCACACACATGCGCGTCTCTGTATAGATGTGGGGACACTCATTGACATAATGCATTCTCTAGCCCCTTACCCTAACCTTCACCATCACAACTAAATGCCTAACCCCAACCCGTATCATAACCCAACCTTAACCTGACAATAACCTAAACCTAACATTAAAATGTAATTATTTGTTTTCTGTCCCCATAAGGAAAAAAAGTCAGCATGTAATCCCTTAGTGAACAGAATTTGATCTAGGACTATGTGTGTCCCTATAAACTAAATGTATGTACAGCTACTGTCATGTGACCCACAAGCAACTACAGTGTCAGCTGCAAGTTAAAAAACAAGTTTGCTTTGTGCAGCCTTTCACTGAAGACAGCGACATGTCATAATTTGGTGTATTTAACATTTAGCTATTTGCAGTCTTCGCTTATGTGGGAAACACACACACTGAAGCTGGGCTGAATTTGTCTAGTGACGCTTTTGGCAGAGTAATATTTCCGAAGGTGAATAAAATAGCTGGGTACGGAGCAGCTATAATAAGAGTGCTCACAATGAAAAGTGCCGTCTATCCGACCTTTGAAATTTGAACTCATGGACTTCCGACAAATACGAGTCTAACTATTTGACATGTTTTCCACTCTGCTGTTGCTGCTTTGCATTGAAGAAAGCTGCAGTTTCAAGCACACATAACAATTGTATGTGTCGTCCTACACAACTCCAGACTTTGAAGCATTCTATACAGTTGTGTTTAATGCTATAGGTGCTCCACTATATGGCTAACCAAAATTACACACGGTGAAGCTTATGCTAAACTATGAGTATAAATGTGCTGAACCCCACATACGTGCATGCTCTTAAAATGCCATCCATTACAGCAATATCAACCAATATCTAAAAGGTCAGCAGACACTAAGTAAAATAGGAACGCAGTGTTCCACAACCAATGAGCTGCAAAGAAAATGCCAAGCGCATTTAGAGACCTCTTATGCAGCCGGCCTCTCAATCACAGACTGAATTTATTCATCAGAATCCACAGCTCACATGGTGGAAAAGCTGCAGGACACTGGGCAGTTATTGGTACAAAGAGGGACATGGTGTGTTTGTGTGTCGTTTCTCTGTCCATCTACACTTCAAAAGAGCAATGACATTTTATCTAGTTTGTAATAGGGCTTGCAACTCTGACTTTCAGTACCAAACTACAGCACAAGTTTTCATTTTGTGTGTAAGGGACATTTTCACATTTTATATTCTACTTAATCTAACTTTTTAGATTCTGTCTGGTCTGGAACAAAATCCTCCCTTGACTCAACTCGCTTACTGTAAGAAGAAATGAAATCTGAGTGAGAGCTCAATATTAACACAGGGAATTGCTGCACTTAGGCCAGATATCTAATGGCCTATGGGACTAATAAGAGAACATTTTCTCCTTTGCTTTGAGCAGAACAACATAATTAAACATTACACACCCACCTTGTATTTAAATCAACCATAGATATTATGTTTTTATTAAAAAATGTCTGGATATGCTTAGTCACTCTTTTTATTCTTTGCCAAGAGTAACATGAAAATAAAAAAGATAGAGAAAATATAGATATATGTTTTGAGGGAGCAAAATGTATCATTATATTTGCTAAGCTGACCTTAAGCAGATTGTGTTCATATCCTGTCTGCACATTTTCAACAGTAAATGGGAATAAACTAAATAAAAATCACATTTGGTTTTTGCCTGAAATGCATTTTGTTTGGTTAACAAAAGCACAAAATGGAATTCAATATTTTTAATTGGACACTTCAGGTTATTGCCCACCCCAGACATAAGCACATTGATGTTGGTAAGCCAACTTACGTTCTCCACTGTCCAGTATCCCTGATTCCTGAAGGGAGCGAATGCAGGAATCCACCAACTCCAAACCAGTGGTCAACTCATCCTCGATATCCTTCTGTCCATCCGCTGTGAAAGACACAAAACAGGATGTGAGAGATGGAGGACAGGAAATGAGGGAAGGAGAGGGTGAGAGATGAAAGAGATCTCCCTGCACTGTAACTTGAATTCTCTACTCTCACAGTCCATAAAACTCCGAACATTATGTCTTGGTTATGAGCTGTAGGACATTTTGATTAAATGCTGGACCCTGATAAGTCTTCCCTGGGAGCTGCCTGAGTGTAAATGAAGTTGTTGGAAAAGTGTAGTGGATTGAATGATAAATGTGTGTAAGTAAATGTGGGAATTTGTGTGTAGTTAAGTCAGTATGAAATCTTTAAAACGACAGGTTTGAGCAGTCACTTCATGCAACAATACCTTTGCATGCATGGCTGAGCAGCAAGTGCAAAGTGTTTGTACGAATGGTGAACTTTACCTTGAGCGTTCCAGCGAAATTGCTCATCCGTCGAACTGCAAGAAGAAGAAGGGGGTCAATAATAAGAATGATCAGAGAATTAAGACAATAAAATAATTTACTGGACTGAAAGCACCTGCCAATGAGCTACATGTGTTTTATGCTGCGGAAGTCTGAAACACAAATTACAAACGAAATAATGGGAACAAAACTCAAATGTCATTTCAGCTTTTAGTCAGGCCCTGGCCAATTACTGTAGATATTTTTCTGTTCTCGAATGGAAGGTGTTGTGGACGTGTACACAACTACAAAGCACACATTCAAGCTCAGGGACGCGCACACAACCAAGACTTGTTTTCCATTCTCTTGATCACTGTCAATTGATCTGTGATTGATGGGAAGAGGGGTTGAGCAGAGAAAAAGACGAAGTCAGGTAGACGGAAAAAAGAGGAAGAAAAAGAAAGTTGAAGACGAGTATTGAGCCACCAGCTGTGAGATCAATACAGACACAGACACACTAAATGATACATATAGACTCTTTCATCTGACTTCATCTACACCATTAGTCTGGCTGTCTGGCTGGTTTCTGTGCCTGTCCCATTAAGACTGTTTGGTATTCCACATGCCCAGACTTCTTTCTAATTGAATGTCTGTCAGTGTGTGTGCTTGTGTGATTTGAGGGTTATTGCACAATTTGTGTCTAAAAGCGCCAGTAAGCTCTCGTGTGTGAACAAATTTGAGGTCTATGAGAATGACAGAATATGTTTGTATGTGTTTATTTGTCTATTTGACATGACGGTGATGATTATACCTGAGGTGGTATTGGTTTCCAATGATGGGGCATCTTCTGAATGGTTGAAGTAGTTTTGATTTTAGACGCAACAGACTATTTCTGAAAAGTCATACTCAGGGAATCATGTGTGGCAATATACTGTAGTCAGCATAAACAGCCTAGCAATTTAGGTCATCATGAATGCTGTATGTAAAGATGGATATAATAGATCCTGAAAAGTAAAGCCTTAAAAGTCTTGATCCCCCTGGTGTCTGGCTGCAGTATAGGTCATAAACCCCACCTTCTCCAAGTGAATAGGACAAGGGCCAAACTAAAAATTCAAAATGCAACTCCAATAACTTTTTCTCAAAGACGGTGTGTGTCATTTTAATTCTTATTACGCTGATGTTCAAATAAAAAAAAGTGTTATTTGATGCTACAAAAACAGAGTGAAGCTGATTGACAGCCGAAATTCCGCATTATAGCCGATCACTACTGTGTTGCCTTTTGACTGTAAATGATCCAAGATGGCAGCGTTCAGATCTGGGATATTTTAGCTTCATTTCTGGATAGTTGGAGAGAGTGGAGACGCGTCGTCCGTGTGTGCTCTGCTGACGTTTCACATGAGTTAGCATGCAGATAATGGCACGCTAAAACCATAGCTGAAACCAAACCATAGCCATCTGTATCCTAAATGTACCTGCTTGATTAGTGAAACGTGTTGAGGCTATTACAGAGCATGCAGAGTGATATAGCTCATTGTTCTTAAAAGCACTTACAAGGCAATTACATTTATGTTCCGCCCAATACACAATAACAGCAACTGTTTATATGAACAGTCAGAGTGTGAGAGAACAGTTTGCCCTTTCACAACTGAACATTGTTGTACTGGTTGAAGGAAGGAAGGAAGAATCAGTATACACTTGCTTCTTATGTGTTATGATATTTTTGACATCATCTGCATGATTCCAATTTATCTTGCCCCTGAGGATGCAGCCTGTCCTGCATTTCTTCAGTTACGTAACCGCACTAAAGAAGGAATGAGCATCCATTTGTGCAATACAGCTCAGAGGGAAAATTTGCAGATTTGTCCAAGTGAAATGGACACTTTAGAACTCAATAGTTACTCTCCAGCTAGTAGTGAATGATATAAGTAAAGGTCATTGGAAGCTAAACGAAATGCTTGCAAGGCTAATGAAACACCATCATTATGAGGCAGCACCAGCCTGAAGGTCAGTAATGTGGGACAGTGATCAAAGGATCTTTCGATTGGACCAGAGGAAACATTTTCAATCCTAAATTAAAAATT